GATAATCTTACGTCATTGGATCATCACTTTCTACATAGAATGACCCAAATTAGTTGTTTTGTGTTGTCGTGGATTCAAAACTTTAAATACTATTAATCGACCATCCATAACTCAAACTACCTACAAAGCGTGTTCTATAGAATTCTATTGTAAGACAAGTGCTCAAAACCGTCTCTGACTCATTACTAAGTAAACTAAGTTTACGCATTCGAAACAACCGTTTTTAAATGTTTTTAATGCAGGGAGAACAGAATTCACCCGGAATAATAACTGTATTAACTTAAATAGTTTTCATACTGTTAGGAGTGAAGTGCGTCCCCACATTAACCAGGTTAATCAATAACTTAGCGACAACCTAAGAACTAGATACTCTCAGGATAGAATATCAATTAACTGACAACGGATCTTGTTTGACAGTTCGTTGATCACTATCAGTTTAGCTTTAGCCTTCATTTCTGTCAAGAGACCTTTCAATATCTGGGTTACTGGGAATACATATATAAAGCCCCCCCCCCTAATAAGTAATCAGTCAGAACTTATATTATTTCTTTCTAAAAATGAAATTAGCTATTGGTTTTGTCTTCTACCTGCGTGAACGAAAGTCTTCAAAACCTAGACACCTGGTGTCTTCCAAATCAAGTCCTGTTAACTTGCTCATCGTATTATTGTAGAATATCACTGACCATAGTTATATTAAGAAAATTTTTTCCTTGATTCCGTGCTATAATTTTAAATAGAGAAGCTGTTAATCAAACTCTTTTCAACCCGCATTGCTATTGTCCGCCTAACAATGTCCTCAGAATTCCCTTGAGATTATGCCTAACAAGACCACATGCTCGGAACTCAGGAAAAAACCCGCAAAAATGACAGTAGAATGAAGGGTGCATTTAATCGATTGATAAGAGGTAAAGTTCTAAAAGGGAGTTCCAAAAGATATTTATAAAATACTGCATGCACAAAGCCTTATAAAGCAGTTGTAGTCATTTCATAGTTTAAATCCATTTCGGAATTATTGAAGTATTTTGGTATCCTTATTGATTATGACTTATGTCTTGATGGCTGGTAAAAACTACGAGTTATATATATATATTATAAATAAATATAATATTTTATTGACATAATTTTAAGAGGGGACCAAAAGAGAACGCCTAGGAGTCACTCTATTCGTTATCATTTCTCGAAAAAAAGAAACAATTTCGCAAAATAAATCCATGATTAATTAACACGCCTTATTTCGCCTAGGTTATAAAAAATTCAATTGTCGTCGGTTATTTGTGATAGGATTTGATAGACAACGCATTAATCAAGTCCATTCAAAATTGGTTCACAATGATTTAAAGAAAACAAAAAAGGAGTGTTATCTCACATTTGTGTCTGTTACTTAGTTTCCGGTACTCAATGCCTAAATGTGTGCAGTCTTCAATGTGGAAAAGCTTATGAATGTATGAAACGATAAAGCAGTCCAATGTAGGTGATAGGTGAAGAATCGAATAAGGATATTTACTGAGGGTATCATATATTCATGTTCATTAAATAAATTTAATAAATACTAAAGTTGTTTGCCCATATGCTTCAGATTAGAAGAGAGTAAAAATAGTTTTAACCCTATTCAAGCTCGTGCGAATTCACCGGAGGTCTATTTTGGTATTGGTCAATATAGACGATAAACTAAATTAACGGGCTAAAATAGGGGATGTGTGGACCTGATTTCTACATGATCATATTAATTTGAAAACATGGGATTTAAGAAAAGTGACTAGCAAAGTATATTGACGAGACTCTTCAGTGCTCTACGACATGACTGTCGTCAGCTAGCATATACCAAGAAAGTGAGTGAGTCATCAATTACTCTCTCAAATAGACGTTTTAGTAATGGTCATGTTACGAACTTTAGAATATCAATTAAAGTTAATAGAAAGTGCTCAATTTCGCAGGCTTCTTTCGCATTCCAATTGATTACAATTTGATTTACAGAATGCCACATAAGGTGAGTGCAGTAAAGGCATGAAATTCTAAAATTTGTAGCTCACATGCACTGGAGATGAAATAACTAAATTGTGTGTGTGTGTGTGTGTGTGTGATTTGCTTTGATATGATCTGCCCTGATCCCACAGGTTGACAGTGGGTAACTGGCACTGTGTAATAACAACGTACAATTTATCACTTGCAACTCCTTTTAACGTAAATTCTAACCCACCTGGATAATGTGGTAATACCATTCTGCATTGTGCCTCTAGTTTCATTAGGTCTGATATATGCTCCAATATTTAATGGAACAAAGTATGTATGATTGCCTATTTCTTTTTACCTAATACTACTTATTCAAGTGGATTTTACGTAGGCATAGAACACAACACACTTAACACTGTGTGAAGTGAATGTGTTTTATAAATAAAAATACAAAATGCCTCACATATTTTAAATAGGCTATGTTTTAAAGAAAACAGCTGATGTGTTATGAAGCAAGTAAGCTGGCAGTACCCTCCTATCTCCACCAATAGGAGAAAGGCTTAATCCAAGAGCGGCAAACAGATTAGGTGGCTCCAATGAAGGAACCGAGACAACCACCAGATCTTTTACCCTGGGTGATCTAAAATTATTGAAAACAATTACAAATCCTCAACTGAAATTAATTA